GAAAAAAGTATTTCAAACATTGGAAGGTATAATCTTTAGAAAAAAATTATTAAAAGTAAACAAATAAAAGAACAACGATTTAGACGTGATATCGGTCCGGGATTAAATTTGAAGAAAAGTGACACGTTCTTTTCGCTGATTTGAGTTTTGTTACAGTAAAAAATTATTAAAAACAGTCACATTTTAACTTTTTTGTTACAGTAAAAAATTCTCACACAACATCACATCTCAACTCGAATTAAAAACTCGAATTAACAAACCGAACAGAAGTGTCGGTAAATTTGTTTTATTACGACTAAGGTTTTTCTTTTTTTTAATAAAAAATATAATAATAATAAAAAATTAAGAACGAAATATAAAAACTTGAGTTGTTTTTTTTTTTTTTTTTTTTTTTTTTAAATGTATGCAATACAATAATTGTTCGATACGAGTAATTTACTTGGATCGTGAAGTTTACGGGTAAAAAAAACTGTATCTATTTTAACTTCTAATATTATAATCAATTAAACGAGTTATAGACCGTTTCTATTTTGATCCACCGACGGCAGTCGTACTACTATGATTGCATAAAAATAGATAAATAATTAAAGCGGTATTAGATTTACGGATAATGTATTTTGATTGACTCCTCATACGGTTTAGTAAAAACTTATATTTTAAGAAATCGAACACAAACATGTTTTTATGCTAAAAATATTAGTACTTATCACTTTGATTGCTAAAACAATTTCTTTGCTTACTCCGGAAGCATGACATTTGGTCAATCATTCGTATCGTGATCAGTGCCGCCACCATAGAACTAGTCAAACTGATTTCTTTAATTCTTCTTTGTTATTTTTTAAATGAGTCCAGACTTATTTCTAAACTTAGGCCTATTTTATTTTACCGATTTGAGTTTTGAGTTTTAGATTTTTACAGTAAAAAGTTCTCAAAAAATATCACATTTAATTTTTTCTGTTACAGTGAAAAGTTCTCACAAAATGTCACATCTCAGCTCGAATTGAAAACTTGAATCTGCGAAGTGAACAAGGCCTTAGAAACTCTATGGCGTGTTTAGAATTGATCATGTTTTTATTTTTTACGTTTTTTGAGAAAGAAAAATAAAAACGTTTTTAAAATGGCGTTTGGCACAATAAAGATAAAAAACGGAAATAAAAATGATTTTTTAGTTTAGTGTAAAATGAGAGAGAAATGAAAAACGACTTTTAATCATTTTTTATTTTTTATTTTCGTTTTCTCCTCTCTCGAGCAGAGAGAAAGAGAGAAAAATATTAATGAGTTTTTTTATACTGAAAATAAGCTCTTGATAAAACTACCAAATGCTTTTTTAAAAATGATTTCTGTCTCAGATTGAAAACATTTTCATTTTTATTTTTATACAAAAAATAAAATAATTTAAAAATGAGTTCTAAACACGCCCCTAATTTTACGATGCTTTTTTAAAAATGATTTCTGTCTCAGATTGAAAACATTTTCATTTTCATTTTTATACAAAAAATAAAATAATTTAAAAATGAGTTCTAAACACGCCCCTAATTTTACAAAAACTATACGAATTATTTTTTGGATGCATGTTTGGTTCGCCGCGAAGTCGTATAGTTCTGGTAGCTTATACGTGCCAGTTTATAAGCAGAAGATAGTATTAGTAACTAATCATAATGTATTTTTAACAATTTACCCAAAAAAAATCCATCTTAACGGGAAAAAAGAAGAACAAAACAAATCATAAGATAACAAACATCGTCGAGTCGTAATTAAGGATGATAATTTTACACGTTTACTCATTTATCTGCGGAGACCCGCATTAATTGGGACAGAAAAATCCATTTTAAATGGATCTGAACCATAAACGAGGTAAAATTTTAACCCATCATGAGTCGCAGTACGAAGACGGATTAAGAGATCTTCGACTTTATTTCCCGTTTACCTGCCTCGTTTAATTATATTGTATTTTTATATTAGATATATTATTGTATAATATATTATAATATATAATTTTAAGTATAATCTATTACATAATATGTATGAAAATTTAAACCTACTTTTTTTTAATTTTTAACTTAATATTTTGTATGTTTGTATTGTTCAGTTATTTATTTATTTATTTTACAATGAAAATAACTAATTGGGTAAATAGAGTACTGTAAATACTCCGAACTAGTGGCCGGAAAATACGTCTCGTAATCAGTCAACTTATTTGAGTTCATAAAACGAGTATAATGAGTATTTTTTGTTCACGAAACGAATAGGTAAAAAGACCATTCCGCTCTAAATCCACTCCGTTATTATTCCTAGTCGTAGTACAAAGGTAATAGCGACTTTTTTTCTTCTTCCATTCAAAACAAATCACTTGAATTTTTTTAAAATTTTTTAAAGCACTAATGTTTGAATATTGGTAGCCTCAAAAGTCTTATCAAATCAATAGATTGTAAAACATTAATGCCTCATCCAGTTCGTCGATTCGAGTTTATATGTAATTTTATGTGAGAGCTTTTAACTGTAGCAAAAAAATTAGATGTGACTTTTTGTGAGAGTTTTTAACTATAGCAAAATTGGAATTAAAAACTCGAATCAGTGAAATAAACGAGGCCTAAATTCATATTGATGTGTGTGAACTTAAATCCATCATTTGGTTAGGTCAATTTTATTTTATTAGTGGACCTAAAATTTAATAAAAATTACAAGATATGACTATTTTTTAAGAGTTGAATTAAAATATGGCTTAGGTGTACAAATATCACTTCCATAGCTTATTTTTTCAACTATATTTTTTGACAACCTAAAAATACCCTTTGAGTTGATTTTGTCATGCTTTTATTGTGATAACTTCCATATATCTCTCATAGTTGAATTTTTAGAAGAATTTATTTGAAATCCAAGTTTATTAAGTTATTAATCCCGATTTTTAAATTTTGAAACATTAATTGCTCCTCATACAATAACGTGAAGTGATACCAAATTATAATGTAGTATCAATTATATTACTTACAATGTCATTATGTTACTAAATTATAAACAAGTTCTACCTCATAATGTAAGATCAATTATACAACAAAATACCATAACACTATGCATCATCGAAATGATGTATATACACTAAATTTGGCAAGACAACATTCACCAAAAAAAGAAAAAAGAAAAATCGACAAGACGATAATCCGTAGAACATAAATTTCTAGCAGTTTGTAGGCAATATGTCATTAAATTACTTACAATGTCATTATGACACTGAAATTACAAACAATCACTATGAAAATATAAAATAAACATTTTTTTGCTAGTATATAAAACAAGCATTTAAACTGCCACAAAACAAACTGCCATTTGCAAGCGCAAACGTGCACAGATAGGCGATAAATAACAATTAGTGAATTTTTTTTAAAAAAAAACCAATGATGTCATAAAATCATATTAACGTAGCTATCATTATATTTGTCAATTTTGCATATATATATAGTTTTGATCAATTTTACAATTAAATTACTTGTATATTAATGACATGCGCTAGAACAATTCATTGATAGGAATAAGAGTACTAATACTTGCTGTGTTTTGGTTTTTTTTTTATAATGACGTTGCTTGTACTTTAATGACATGGGGTAGAAAATTCAAAATTGTTTATCAAGAATAAGATCACTGATGTTGCTTTTGTGATCGTATTTATAATGATATTGTATGTATTTTAATGATATGAGCTAGGAAGATTTTAATAGTTAAATACTGATATCAATTTGATGCTGACTGCTTGATGGTTTGAATTTTAACTTACAAATCAATTTTATTAATTTGTGATTTAATGAATCTCAATTCCTTTATTTTGGGGATTTACACTTTTTAAAATGGTAGATATCCCACAAAATGTGGGAAAAAAAATTAGAGCAACATCTAAATTATGTAAAAAAACTAATATAGCATTATAAGGTTAATAATGTAATTACATAACATGTTATTTAAATATCATTATACAATTAGACTATTGATGAGATATTCTTAAACTTAAGCCACATTTCAATTCTATAATTGTAATTCGGCCATATTTTAATTCTATAGTTCTAATTCGGCCATATTTTAAACGATAAAGATATAGGACAAAATGTCACAACTCATATATTTAAAAAAAAAAAAAAAAAAAAAAAAACCACAAGGAATCAAACTAATTACTTTCACCTCGGCTCTTGGACTCAGACGGGTTTGAACTCTGATTCCAAACCAACTCAAAATCCCCTAATCTAGAGTTCAATTCTCTTAATTTCATAGAAATTCAAACCATTTTACACATGAAAAATTATTGTCCCGTTTTGGATTTTTCACTTCTCATGTACGTTTTCACTTGTATGAAACACGTATTAGATTATATTCTCTACTATACTTTAACTACACACATTTAATCTTTATTTGTTTCTTAACAAAAATCAACGAAAAACAGAAGATGAGGCATATGGCTCAAAGTAAGATTTTATTTATTATTATTTTTTTTTGGTTGGTTCTCCTCATTTTTTACAATTATTTGATCCAAATTTTACGCAAGAATCTTTTCGGTAGGACTAGCGCAAGAATCCTATTACAAGCGTAAATAATATTTAACTCTGGATCAGAATAAATGACCGGCGCACGTGGAGTACAGGGGCTGACGTGGAAGCGCGATCGACCGCATATGTGTCGGCTCAAGAATCGAGAAAATGCAGAACAAACCCGCCGACTTCACACGGATCCCCATGACAATTAGGTCCGGACCGACTTGCGCTCCAGTCCAAAACAGGTGTCGTAAGCAGTGACAAAAGCCACCCCCATGTGCGATTTTTACACGCAGTCACTACATTCCACGCCCGCCACGTGTTCCCTTCTTGGTCAGCACTAAAAGCTACATCGCACGTACCCAAAAAATTAAAAAAAAAGTTTAGAAAAAGGATAAAAATGTTGTCGTTCACGTGTATTCTAGAAAACCACTGGCTTCTTCTGCCACGTGTCTCCCTTCCCCTCCCTATAAATTCCTCTCTCTCCCTTGTGTTCTAAGTTTCAAACGCCGTCATCGTAGCTTTATCCAGAAGGAGCAGAAACTACTACTACTACTACGAGAGAGAGAGAGAGAGAGAGAGAGCGTGAAGAGAGAGAGACAAGAATGACAACTGAGTTACAGTTACCGCCAGGCTTCAGGTTTCATCCAACGGATGAGGAGCTTGTGATGCACTATCTCTGCCGTAAATGCGCGTCGCAGCCAATCGCCGTCCCGATTATCGCCGAGATCGATCTTTACAAGTACGATCCATGGGAACTGCCAGGTAATGTTTCGATTTCACATTTTTCAACTTTATTTTCGTGTTTTATAATTATTTTTGTGATTTAACTGATTATTTATATTCGTCTAATTTACAGGCTTGGCTTTGTATGGGGAGAAAGAGTGGTACTTCTTTTCGCCCAGAGACAGGAAGTACCCGAACGGTTCGAGGCCGAACCGGGCGGCCGGGTCCGGGTATTGGAAGGCGACCGGGGCTGATAAGCCGATCGGACATCCTAAGCCGGTTGGGATTAAGAAGGCCTTGGTTTTCTACGCTGGGAAAGCTCCGAAAGGAGAGAAAACCAATTGGATTATGCATGAGTACCGGCTTGCTGACGTGGACCGGTCCGCTCGCAAGAAGAACAGCTTAAGGGTATAATTACCAACTTCGATTCAATCTTCATCCCAGAAGTTAGGGGTACATTAGACTTTTTGTTGCACGAGTGCTTAGGGAGAGAGATCAGATCGTCGGAACTTATATCGTGACTGCCATTTGTGTTAAAATGGCGGCCGTAAAGCTAGTTTTCATTTTAATGGGGGAATGAGTTGGAAACACTCTAATCCGACGCTACTCTTTACCGAATTGTAGGTCCCACCAAACGTAAAAACGGCGTGGGCCCAAGTTTTAACGATAGATCCGGCGAGCACCGGATTATCACCAATCATTTCGCAAATCAACTATAAACGAAAACCGAACCTGTTTTTTGTGTGACTAGGACAGAATGAGCCTGTCGCTTGTATGCCAAAATTAATTAAGAATGACCAAAAACTTTTAGCTATTTATGCACAAATATTCCTTCTGATCTCTTCCTGGCATCAAAAGATAGAGAGGCAAACGAAAGATATCGCAATGTGATCATGTGGCTCTGATTTAGATTTTATTAACTCATATTATTGATCACTGTGATAACTGATCGACGGTTCTGATTTTGCAGCTGGACGATTGGGTACTGTGCCGCATATACAACAAGAAGGGCTCCATAGAGAAGCAAACCCAAAGCTTGAACCGGAAACTGGCGAGTTTCCCGGAGCCGGAGGACAAGAAGCCGGAGAAGCTGACGGCATCGCAAGTTCTCAACGGTTACCCGCCACCGCCGGCGGCGACGGGGGTGAATGATTTCATGTACTTTGACACGTCGGAATCGGTGCCGAGGCTCCACACGGACTCGAGCTGCTCGGAGCACGTGGTGTCGCCGGAGTTCACGTGCGAGGTCCAGAGTGAGCCCAAGTGGAAGGAGTGGGAGAAGGCCCTCGATTTCCCATATAATTACATGGATGCCACTGTGGACAGCGCGTTCGCCTCGTCGCAGTTGCAGGGCGGGGGTAATTATCAGTTGTCGCCGCTGCAGGACATGTTCATGTACCTGCAGAAGCCCTTTTGAATTTTGACTTGGGTTGGCCAAAAACGGAGAAGACTACGGATGGTATTTTGCTGGTTTTCGGTGTCGTGGGACAACACGAGACGAAGGTCCATGACTGTTGCTCTGCGATAGCTCACATAAATATATAATTAAGGAAGAAGAATTAGAATGAAAAAAAAAAAAGGAAAAGAAAAAATATAATATATATATAGAACGCGAATTCCGTCATTGGGGATTTCACTTGTGGGGTCCAGCATTTGGCTCCCGGGGGTGGACTTGGGTGCGGGTCGGTACACCGAGCACATTGATCTTTGCATATAGCGGTAGCATGTGTACAGCCTGTAGATGTAGATAGATATAAACGTTGTCACCGTCATGATTTTGAGTACCGGGCATTTATTGGCCCCAAATCTAAATTTTAATATTTCTCGTTGTAGCAGATTAAAATTGTTTTCCTTCTTCGTTTCTTGTTGATCTGTTTTCTTTCTTTTATAGTTTGGAGGATTCCTCATTTTTTATATGGAGTAATTTCTCTCGTAAGATAAAAAATTACTAATTCTAATAACTTTTTTAGTATTCATACATATTTGTATAAAGAACCATCTGTTATAATATAAAATACGGTCAGAATTATTCTGACCTATCGGATTGAATTCGGTAAAGAAAAGTCTATCGGAGAAAATTCATCTTTTATATCGTATTATCTTCAGCAGTTTGCCTTTATCCTTTTTGCGTTTGGTGGAGTTTGGGATAATAAGCAATTGACATTGAAGTGTCGAGTCACCAATTGCTGGAAACTTCCCTAGAAAATAGTGGAATTGAAAATACATAAATCTAAATAAAAAATTGTACTACATATTAGATCCATTAGTTGGCTACCAATAATATCAGGTCTCAAATTAAATAAAAATATTTGTGGATGCGACATGGGTATGTAGAAAATAAGATGGACGGACGGGCAATTGTTTGTGTGAAAGTTTATGATGTAATTTTTCGTTCAAAGTTTGGGTACGTATAAATGTTAATGGTTAAATCTTAAATGTTAATGGTTAAAGATTTAAGATCTGTTTAGTTTGTTAATTTGAATTTTTAATTTAAGTTAAAATATAATTTTATATAATAATTTTTTATTGTAGTAAAAATATAAGATGTGACATAGGTACGTAGAAAATAAGATGGGCGGAGCGATTGTTTGTGTGAAAGTTTATGATGTAATTTTTCGTTACAAAGTTTGGGTACATACGTCAAGGAGATGGAAATGTTAATGGTTAAAGATTTAAAATCTGTTTAGTTTGTTAATTTAAATTTTTAATTTAAGTTGAAATATGATTTTATATAAGAATTTTTTATTGTAGTAAAAATATAAGATGTGACATAGGTACGTAGAAAATAAGATGGGTGGGCGATTATTTGTGTGAAAGTTTATGATGTAATTTTTCGTTCAAAGTTTGGGTACGCATACATCAAGGAGGATGGAAATGTTAATGGTTAAACAGTGAAAGACATAGGCCTCGTTCATTTCACCGATTTGAGTTTAGAATTTGAGTTTTGTTACAGTAAAAAGCTCTCAGAAATACACATTTAACTTTTTTACTACAGTAAAAAGCTATAACATAAAATCACATCTCAACTCGAATCAATGAACTAAACGGGTCTTTCCGTTTAGTTCGTTGATTCGAGTTTTTAATTCGAGTTGAAATGTGACTTTATATGAGAGTTTTTTATTGTAGTAAAAAAGTTAGACGTGACTGTTTCTGAGAGTTTTTTACTGTAACAAAACTTAAGGGCTTGTTCTTTTGGAGTTTAACTTGAGTATAATTCTTGAGTTGAATTTGAGTTATAACTTGAGTTGAACTTGTAACTTGAGTTTGTGTTTCATTGTGTACATTTGAGTTATGGTTTGAGATAAGAATCTTTTTGAGTTTGTGTTTGAGTGAGTCAAAACTTGAATTTGTATTTAGATAGTATTTTAATAAAAACTCAATGCTGATTGAAAATTTTAATAGGGTATATGGGTCAGGTTTTATTTGTCTTTTCGTTGTCAACGCATAGAAAAAAAAATCATCTCAATCAGAATTAAAACGAAAAAGTTATAGTATTTTTAAGAATAGAAAAAATACTGTTCATTAATTTGAGTTCGAGTTTCTGAACTCGAGTTGAAAGGAAAACTTGAACTCGAGTTTTAGTCCTAAACTCGAGTTTGAACTCGAATTTAAACTTGAGTTTAAACTTAAAAGAATATGAACTCGAATAAAGTTATAACTCAAGTTGTCTTTTTTTGAGTTTTTCACTCAAAAGAACAATAAATCACCAAAATGAACGGGCCTAAAAACGGCCATTTATCCTGATATACTATCCTTTTCTGAGACCGAGAGAAAAAATTGTTATACCGTATCACATGTTACATATTTTTCTGGAATTAGATATTATATTATATGATGGTACCAAGTGGCGATGGACAAGCACTTTTATAGCAAAATATAAGGTTAATCTCATTTGGCCAATAAGGCCAAAAAAAAGAATAATGAATTAAATTAAGTAATTGATTCTAAGGCCTCATTCATTTCGCTGATTTGAGTTTTGTTACAGTAAAAAGCTTTCAGAAACAGTCACATCTAACTTTTTTGCTACAGTAAAAATTCTCACATAAAGTCACATCTCAACTAGAATCAATGAACTAAATGAGTCATAAGTAAGTCGATTATTGAAAAATAGAGATGGAAGTTTATATCTAAGGAGCATATAAGAAAGTGCTTAATTAGTGGCTAATGGTCAATTTTTAGAATATCAATGGAATATTGTATCAGAAGAGCATATAAGAAAGTGCTTAATTTGTGTGCTATTTGAGTGCGAAAACAACGCAATGTTATTTACTTATTTTTATTGCCAAAGTCAGCATATGTTTTATTTGGTGCATAATTTTGACATCCCCTAAAGCATATGCTAAGTTTGATGTGTGATTGTTATTGGTTAACGTATTATTATTTTTCAATTACTTGTTACGACATTGTTATTTTTAAAATAAAATTTAAAAGTTATTTTTAGGAGTTCAAAAACTGAATAATATGAAAAAAGTACTGGGTTGGTCTACCTTGTAACTACATTATAAGTGTAGAGTTTAAATTTCTCCATCTTTAAATAAAAATATATATGTACATATGATAAAAAAATTCATAGCATTTAAAATGACATCATAGATTGAAGAACAAAACAAAAAATTATATCATATATGTCATTTATGCATTTTGTAATACGAAATATAGCATTCACATTGTGGATAGTCAGCCATTTGTAATACGAAATATAGCATTAGCATTGGCATTGCAGATTATTGATGATTGAGGAAAATGTTACTCTCTAAAGATGAGTTAATATCCATTCTAGATATCTTCATTTGTCCAATGAACTTTTTCCTTGCCTTTTTTTTATTTTTAAGAAAGAGGGACAGATGGAATAAATTTTTTTTTTCAATGGAAATTGTAAATCTATAATAAAAGGATTCCTTTAAAGAAAAAGGAGAAAAAATGGGAGAGTGTAGTAAATAGTAGATTTATATAAAATTATTTTAAATAAATAAAATATTTTAAAACTATTAAAAGTAAATAACAGTTTATTCCATAAATGTTTCATTTGCGACTAATAAAAAGATTTTTTTCACATAAATCTTCTTTTAGGACTGTTAAGAAGATATTTTCATGTAATACAGATTTTGTTACCATGTTAGTTATTTTTATCAGTCGTAAATACTAAAAAGATAAAGCAAGACACTCGCTTCCACAATGAGAATTGACTTGGAACTATATGAGTAAATACTGTAACAGAAAGAAATTAAATGTGACTTTTTGTAAGAGAAAACAGTGTGCTAAAAATTGGTGTTGTTTAAAATTGCCAAGCGTGAAACAATAATATTTCTTTAGGGCCCTGCACTTTATGGTTTCTCCAAGATGGCCCAAAATCGGCTCTAGCCCATTTGTTGCAGTGTCGAATACTGGATTCTTTTTTTTTTTTTGGTAAAATTTTCCAATTTTAACTACATCACTCTCCATTCATGTAATTTTAAGGTTATTTTATTTTACAAGATACATTATAAATTTATTAAAATTTATATCATATTATTTGGACGTTTGAACGCTGTACTCTTAAGTGACGTTTAATTCATGAGTCAGAATCATAGTTTAAGATTTTAATTTTTTTTATAAAAAAAAATACTGTAATAAATTAAGAACTATAATTCTAAACTATGTCAGAACTCTCAAAACAAACGGAGTATTAAACTTGCAGGACAAAGCTTCCAAAAAAAAATTTACAGTACAAAAATTTAATGCCGTTAACATCGCTGATCAGTAACTAAAGAGACGACTGCTCAAATACCTACGGAAGCAACTTTCACTGTCGTAGGTCTGGCCTTCGTTTACGGAGTTGGGCCCAGTACGCTAGTGGGCCACTGGGCCAGAAACTGTTGGACCATTCCATCGAAGACACGTTTTCCTTTGTCTCGAATGGGTGAAATCACCGACAAAGCAACATGGAGGCAAAAGAAGAGATTAGAAGCGTTAGCCCATTCGGTTCGCTAATTTGAATTGAGATGTGATATTATGTGAGTTTTTTTACTATAATAAAAAGTTAGATGTGACTGTTTATAAGAGCTTTTTACTGTAGTAAAACACGAATTCTAAACTCAAATCAACGAAAAAAACGGATATATATCGAGGATCTGAAGTATGACTCACTCTCTGCAGTGCAATGCGTAGATCATTCCTTTCAAAATTTCCCCTTTTTGTTGTGGTGGAAGATAAAGTGAACATTATCATAACTTACATCCACAATTAGAATTGCGAACCAAAATCTTTGCAATGTCCCATCATCTTTTTGCCAATCAAATCATCTAAATTATGCCCAAACAAGGATCACATGCATTGACCTAGTTAAGAGACTAGTGTAGTTTATTAGCTTAGGGCCGTTCATTTTACACATTTGAATTTAAAATATAAATTTTATTACAGTAAAAAGTTATTAAAGACAGTCACATATAATTTTTTTATGACAGTAAAAAGTTCTCACATAAAGTCACACCTCAATTCAAATTAAAAACTCGAATTAACGAACTAATTGGGCCCAAATATACACCATACTTCTCCATGCCTTGTTTACTTTTACTATATAAGCTAAAGAGAGTATCTTTTAAGGCTGTTATCATATCAGTTTTCCGATTCGAGATGAGATGTGATTATGTGAAAGTTTTTCACTTTTAGTAGAAAAAGTTAGATGTGACTTATTGTGAGAGCTTTTAACTATAGTAAAATTGAAATTGAAACTCAAATCAGCGAAATGAACGAGACTTCCCCCTTAAAACCCAAAATGAGGATATTTGAACTTACAATTGAGGTGCAAGAGAAATTATCACTTGACTAAACATGCAACCACAACAACACAATTATTGCTCAGTATATTGAAAGGATAAACAAACACTAATCGACCGTTCTACGTTTTAATTTCTATAACTGAAAGAAAAAAAAAAAAAACTTATGTAAATCAAACAATAAATGACTAATATGAGAAATGTTTTGTCTTGATCTAAAA